ACACACCCTCCCCACCTCTGCCCCACTGTGCTCAGATGCAAGTGTGAGCGTTGTCCCTCTACTGGTCCTGCTTTCACTGTGGAGGCCTTGGTCACGGCTCAGCTATTTCCTGACCATAGAAGTTGGAAAATCCAACTGACCTGTCATCTGACAGGCAACATTAGCCTTAGTGTTGTGTTGTCACTAGCTGTGTTACTCTTTTACCACCCTAGAGTGTTATGGCCCAGACACAGGGTCCCACCTGGCCTGCCCAGGCTTCAGGGAGGCCATGCTTATGGCCGTGACCATGAGGGTCTCTACTCAGCTTCCGTGCCTCCTTATGTGTGGTCTCTAGTCTGTGTCACACTCAGTTATTTCAACGAAGGAGTGTTTTAAAAGTAAAAACATTTAATCCTTTAAAAATATATTTTTTCATCTTTGGGAATAAGTTTTCATTTCTCATAGGTAAATTCTGAGCCATTTTTTGGTTAAATAAAAAGTGTAGGTTTAATTGTGTAAGAAACGATCAAACAGATTTCCCAAGAGATTGTGCCATTTGCATTGCCACTGGCAGAGTCTGTGAACTCCGTGTCTCTCCCCTCCCTTGGTATCCCCAGTCTTTTTAATTAAGCCACACTAATTTGTGCATAGTAACGTCCCATAGTGGGTTCTAATCTGCATTTTTGCTCTCACTCATGAGTAAGCATCTTTTCACATTTTAATCAATTTTTATCTTTCTTTGCAAAGGACCAATGTTCCAGTGTGCGACCATGGCAGTACAGAGGATGAACGATTACTCGGAGATGAGATTTAGTTCAGTCACCGAGAGGCCTTGGATGTTATCTTAACCAAGAGCACCCAGCATTAAGGGAGACTCCCAGGAGACGAGCCACAAGCTGCGACTCTTTGGCCTTCATTTAGAATAGCAGTGTAAGTGAGCAAAGCAGAAGAAAACTAGTTAGTACAAGAAGCTGTTTCAAGGTTGCACAGTTTTTCTTGAAGGAAGAAATAGGAAAATGGTAGACACAACGCGCTTCCCTAATCCAAATTTCTTATTGTTCAACCATTTATTTTCTGCTTTTGCCCTGCAGTTTAACCTTTCCCTCCTTGGCCAAGTCCCTCACAGATCAGTTCAATCTTTTATCCATTTCTTATTGTTGTTCTTCTTCCTATTATTAAGTTGTAGATAGTTTTTATGTATGTTGGATACAACTCTTTCATTAGACACATGTATTATGAATAATATCTCCTAGACTGGGGCTTCTTTTTCACATTCTCAGCTGTGTCTTTCAAGTAGTAAAAGCTTTCTTTTTTTCAGATGGGAGCCAATGTATGCACTTTTTTCTTTCATGATTCTTACTTTCTGCACCATATTGATATTCTCTCGTATTTTCTTCTAGAAGCATTACAACTTTTTGATTTTTACATCTCATGTAGCATCCATTTTTCAGTTAGGGTTAAATTTGTTCCCAGTGAGAGTATCCATTTGTTCCATTATGCATCCTTTTTTTTTTTTTTTTTTGTGGTTCTGGGGATTGAACTCATGACATTGTGCTTGCCAGTCTGGTGCTTATGCCACTGAGCTAAATCCCCAACCCCTGCATTCGATTATTGAAGTAAAACGTAGCACTTTAATAAAAAGTCAGTTGATTCTATATAGATGTATGTTTTTCTGGACTGTCCACTGTCGTCTACCAATCTGTAAGTCTACTGTTGACTGTTGCAACTTTATAGCAAGTCTTGAAACTGGATTGTACAAGTCCCTCTGTCTTGGCCCACTGAAGCTGCTATAACAAAATGCCATAAACTGGGTGGCTTATTTCTCACAGTTCTGGAAGCTGAAAAGTTCAAATTTGAAGCATTAGCAGAGTCAATGCTATTAAGGGCTCACTTTCAGTTCATATACTCTTATGGTTTGAATCTACAATGTCTCCACAAGAGCTCATGTGTTGAAAGTTTGGTCTGCAAAGCATCCATGCTCATAGCTGGGGCTTTGGGGCAGTGATTGGGTCATGAGGATTCTAACTTCATTCATGGATTAAGCCACAGATGAGTTCATGGCTGAATGGGTTTTTGGGACGTGGGATCCTGCCACAGGAAGTGGATCATAGAGGGATGAAGTTGGTGACTATCTCTTGTTCCCAATTCCTTTCTCTCTGACTCCTTCTCTCTCTCTGCATGCTGAATGCCATGAGGGGGGAAATTTTCCTCTACCACCTTCTTCTGCCATGATGTTTCTGCCTCACTATAGGCCTAAAAACCATGGAGCCAGCCAACCACTGACTGAAACCATGAGTCAAAACGAACCTTCCTTCTCTACAGTGATATTCTCAGCTATATTGTCACAGTAACAGAAAGCCACCTAACATATAAACAACACCCTGTGACTGTGTCCTCATGTGCTGATGGGACAGAGGTCTACCTCTGACTTCTTATAAGGCCACTGACCCTATTCATGTGCGCTCGACCCTCATAACCTAATCACCTCCCAAAGACCTCACCTCCTAACATCGCTTTGCAGATTAGAACCTCAGCATAGGGATTTGGAAGGCAACAAAAACTTAGACCATGGCATTTTTCAACTTTGATTTTTTTTCAAAACTGGCTTGACTATTTTAAGCGTTTTTGTTTTGTACATTTTTTTGCATTGCCACATACATTTTAGAATCAGTTTGCCAATGTGTACAAAAACAGAAGCCTGATGATATTGTAATTGGGAAAGTATTCATATGTCAAGCAATTTAAAGAGAATTAACTTAAAAATAGTGAATCTTCCAATTAAAGATACTACGTCTCTACATGTATTCCATCTTTAAATTTGCTCAGCAGTATTTTGCAGACAGAAGTTGCCAATATAATATGTTTATCTTCTAAGTATTTCATGGGTTTGGTGTAATTCCAAATACTATTTTAATTTTAATTTATATTTGCGAGTCTTCAGAAAAGCATTTGGTTTTACCTAGCGATTTTCATCCAGGAACTTGCTAAATTATCTTAGTCCCGATAGCTTTTTTTTTTTCAATAGCTCCCTGAAACTCTATATATATCATTTATTTTTTGTTGTTGTTGTTTGTTTGTTTGCTTGTTTTTGGTACTGGACATTGAAATTGGAGCCTTCACACTGAACCATAGTCTTTTATTTTATTTCTTAAATTTTGAAACAAGGTCCCACTATATTGCTGAATTGCCCAAACTGAGATTTAACTTGCAATCCTCCTGCCTGAGCATCCAGAGTGCTGAGATTACAGATTGCACCACCATACCCACCTGCCATGCAGTTCTTTGTCTTACCCCATTGCATTGGCTGGAACCTCCTGTGCCATGCTGAGTAGAAGCAGCAATGGCACATAGCTCAATTGAAGTGCATCAAGAGTAATTAATAATATTGCCCCAGCATAGGGTGGATTACCAGCACCCCCTTTCCATTGCCAAGTAACCCATCCCTATAGTCAGGGACACAAACAGCCCCAGTCCAATTCCCATGTTCCACTAGGACCCTTTCTGGCACCATTTCAGCACCAGTAGGGACACTCAAGAGGTGGGAGCCAATGCAAATTCCACAGGATGAATTTTTAAAGCATTGTGCACTAGATATTGAGGACTTAAAAAAGTAAAAGGAGCATGCGAAGGTATTACAGATGAAGCAACTGAAGAGCGGCCATTCCCAGAGCCAGGGAACAAAAGGAGGAGAGTTGAATGATTAATATTCAAAATCTATGGGGTCAGAGAATTGCAGCCCTACCTTTGAGAAATGGCATCCAGCCCAAGATGGCCAGTGTCTCAGATGGGAGACAAGGAGCTGGTTTTCCAAGTGCTGAGAAAACAAACTGGAATCAATGCTGTTCCCAGCAGAGAAAGTCCCTAGGCAACTGAGAGCAGAAAGAAGCAAAAGCCAGAACAAGAAACAAAGTTGGAAAGAGTAAGACCTTTCTCTTTCCAGTTTTACAGCCTCTTGCGGTGCCCCTCATTAGCAGATCCTTGCAGGGAGTGGCTGGCCATGCACAGGTGCCGTTTGCAGCGCCCTGGCCTCTCTGACTGACACCAGGTAAGAAAGGGAAGCTGCGAAGCTGGGAGACAAAAGTTTAGCAGACAGCACCAGTGCACATCAGATACCAGCACTGTGTCAACACTCAATGTCCTGAGTGTGGCTGTTGCATCTCGGTTATAAAGGAAGACTGCTGTCCTTAAGGTTGTCCCCTGACATAGATAAAGGCAAAATGCCAAAGCTAAAAACTGGCTCGAACCTGGTACTGCAAAAGATAGGTGGCTGACAGCATGGGTGTGGGAAACACTAACATGCAGTGGTATTTATGCTGTTCTAGTGACTCTTCCTAAAGTTTGGGATTTTTTTTTCCTAATATAAAATCTAGGAGAGTTGCTAAGTCTTGAGCACTTGGAGAACAAAAGTCAAAATATGCACTTGTCCTCTGTCTCTGTATTGGCAGCTGAGATCTCTCTGACAGCAGGGCAGTAGAAGGTGCAGTTTGCAAAGGGATTTTTCCCTTTTCAGACAAGCAGATATCACTGAATTCACTGTATATCATTGAGTGTGAGTCTGCATCTCCCTCATTGTCCTCTGCCAGGAACTGTGCATGCAGCTGCTGCTAAAAACCAGCCATCCTGTGTCCCAGGTGTGACACAGGGCTGGTAGAGAAGAGGTCTCTGTCTCGGCTCTCACTCACCTCTGTTCTCAGCACGGCTGGGTACCCACCATCCTGCTGCTGGGTGGAGCCAAGTTGGTGGCCTCTGGGCTCAGAAGAGACTCAAAGACTTTCACAGAAAGGACAAGATCCACCAGTAGCTTGGTACGTGCCTGACCCTCTATATTATGGGTGGAGTGCAGTAGTGCCTAAAGAAGTCCTGGAGTTTTGTCTCTGAGCCAGAAGTGCGGGTGAGGTCACTGCTTGGCCAGGCTCCACCTTGAGATCTCGTAATTTTTTCTGATTGCCAGGCCTGCCTGGAAAGCTGCAGGGAAGGTCCCAGCTTCTCTCGCAGTCCACATCTGGGCAGCATCCAAGACAAGTGGAGAAGGTCCCTAGAGAGGCTCTCTCCCTAGCAGCCCCATCCCAGACGGACACCACGTGACTCCTAGAGGCTGGCCAACGCCCGGCAGGAGCAGCCCACAGCTCTGGTGACTGGAGCCCACAGCCTGGCCAGCTCAGCTCCGCAGCCAGGGGCTGAGGCAAGCAGGACCCAGTGGTGAGTAGTACTGGTCAGGGCGGGCCTTAGGGTGAGCCCAGGAGCTTGGCTTTTCCTGGGTGGCCATGCTCTGCTGCTGATTGGGTGGGGGAGGGGCAGATCGGACAGCTGTGTGACACTGCTCAGAGGACAGACACTTGCCTGCCGATCCTCCACCGTCTGACCTGGGCTGTGTTTCTGCAGGAATAGCAGCTGAATAGCATCCCTTCCTCTGCTGGCCATCTTCCCTGTGCTCTGCTGTGTTCCATGCTGGGAGAGGGGCCTAAACCTGATTCCAAGGAGGATCAAAGAGACAGCCACACTGAAGCACTTGTCCTGGACAGTGTCATGGCCTCTGGGTCCTGACTGTCCAGGTTAGGGCTTCCAAAGCTCATCTGCCAACAGCAGAACCACACCCATGCCCCTGCTAACTCTTCTCGGTTTGCTGGCTATAGAACCAAGGCTGAGCTTCTTCCTCCTTCTATCTCTCCCTGCCTTCCCCTTGACAAGCTCCTCTACTCCTCCAGGCTTCTGTGACCCTAGGTGGGGACCCCACCTTCTGAGCCCCCTTCCCATTTGGGAAGATGGTCCCGTACAGAGCCCCCAGCAGCAAGGCCCTAGTGGATAGAGACCAGTGAGCCTGACTGAGCCACGCCCTCCCTGTCACCAGCCCCAACCCTATCCTTCTTCACTTCCTGACCTCTCCTCACCATTTGCTCACCCCTCCCCCATCCATTGCTTCTGTTTCAGGATTTTCCTGGGGCTCATGGGACTGTGTCCTCCTCAGCCAGCTGTAGGAGGTCTGTGGCAGTGCAGCCCCCTTTGGATGCTCGAGATAAGCAAGAAGCTAGCCTGGCAGAGGAGGGGTGCCAAGCCCCACATGGAGGTCACAGGACTGGGGAAGCCCACTCACTCTTTTGAGGCCTGAGCTTCCCTTAGTCCTGCAGGCCTTTCTGAGCTGGGTGGGCAGGGCTGCACAGCGGGGATAGAGACCCCTGACAGTGCCCTTAAGATATTCTTAAACTGAATTCTGCCTCTCCTTTGGCTGGAGTGTGGAAACCCCACTCAAACTTAGTAGCAGGGGAGCATCTGTCCTGGTTTCCTTCCCACTGTGACAGCAGGGATTCCCATAGCCCCAGTCAGGGTCTACTTACAGGCTGATAGCCCATGGTAGAGCTCCTCCAACAGCCAGGCCCTCCATGGTCTTCCTGATGGCCACACCCACCTTCCAGGGCCTCTAGTGCTGAGATAGAGCACCCCACCAGGAGTGGGTTGTTGTTATCCACCCAGGGCTTGACCCCACCCTGAGGACCCCTAAGGCTAGAAGATTAAGACTGGACCTGGGGTTGTACAGCTTCCTGGAATGAGCCAGGTTGCCTCTCCACCAGGAAGCCCATGACTCCTGTCATTTCACCCTGATCTAGTTATGACAATAGAGAGTCTGGAGAGGGAAAGGTGACCAGGACCCTGGCCACTGTGTGCAATATATGGCCAGCTTGAGCCCCGAGTCCCAACCTGACCCTGTCACATGCACTGTCACTGCCACTGCCACTCCCATCCTGGAGGAAGAGAGCAGGAGACTCAGTCTTGGCCTTGAGGTAAGAGCTAGCTTTGTACCCCCACCACTTCTCCCAGGTGACCAGAGGACGGGCCACCACCAAGGCAGGAGGGAGGCACCGAGTCTTCAGCCCTGACCACAGCCAGCCTCTGGGAGGCGACAAAGCCCTGTCCCATCTCCCCAACTGCAGGCATCAAGTACTTGGATGAGAACAGACAATCCTAAGTGGTAGGATAGGGACAGGCCACCACAGGTGATGGAATAGGAGAGGTCACCACAGGTGATGAGATAGGTCAGGTAGCCATATGGCACTGGATGAGACTGGTAATCACAGGTGCCCAGATGGGGACAGGTGACTGCATATGGACCTTAAACTGAGTTCCAGACAACCCTGTAAGGTTCAGTGTTTAGCTGTGTCCTGGGAAAGCCATGGTGATAAGCCAGGCTCCAGAAGATGGGGAAGCAGGGTTAATGGAGCCAAGACCCTTCAGCACACAGGGCCACAGGGAACCAACCACCTTGGGGCAAGGGCAGCAGGAGGCTAGAGCCACATCCAGCCCGGCCATTGGGCAGGTCCCTTTTCTCCTCTTCAGGACAGAGGGTAACAAGTGGGGAGGAAGGAGCCTCCCAAGATATGAGAGGCTTGGAGTTCTATCAAGGGGCAGTGAGGATATGAGAGGGAGAAGGGAATCTAGGGCTGTGACCATGGCCACGTAATAGCCAAGCTGGAGGACACAGAGCCCACTGGCCACAACCCCATTCAGAACATCAAAGAAAGTCCTGGATAAGTTAAGAGCTGGTTTCAGATGATGACAAGTTGTCCCTCTAGGGTCATTCCACTCACTGGGCACAGCTCTGCCTTTGATTTTCAAAGGAGTCCTGACTCAAGGATCAGCAGGAGCCACAGAGGTCTCAGCCCTCATTCCCACACTTGCGGGCAGTGTCTGCTTGGCCTGCTGGGACTTGCTTGGGAGCTTTGCATGCATTAGGATCTCAGGGAGCCTTCCACAGGGAGGGAAGGGCAGTCTGGTGGCTGGGGTGGAAATGGAAGAAGCTCCTGCAGTAGATTCCCCTTCCCATGCACCAACCCCTGTCTCCCCATCTCCTCAGAAGTGGGCAGGGTAAGGGCACAGGTTCCTGAATTCTAAACTCAGGTGTCACTGTCATTGCAGGGCTGCCAGAGACAGAAAGAGTTCAGCGAGCGCTCAGTCTCCCAGCCACCCATCGACTTCGCATTTGGCTGATGATGGAGCTGAATGAAGCCCCACAGGACATGGACTTCTCCAACAGCGTCCAGGAGGACGTGGCCTTCAACCTAGCCATCCTGTCCCTCACTGAGCTCCTCAGCCTGGGTGGACTGCTGGGCAATGGAGTGGTGCTTTGGCTGCTGAGCCGTAATGCCTACCAGAACCCCTTCTCCATCTACCTCCTGGATGTGGCCTGTGCGGACCTCATCTTCCTCAGCTGCCACATGGTGGCTGTTGTCTCCGACTTGCTGCCTGGCCATCTGGGCCTCCCAAGCTTCATCCAGACCAGCCTGACCACACTCAGGTTCCTCTGCTACATCGTAAGCCTGAGCCTGCTGGCGGCCATCAGTGTGGAACAGTGTCTGAGCACGTTCTTCCCAGACTGGTACCTATGCCGCCGCCCACGCCACCTGACCACCTGTGTGTGCGCCCTCATCTGGGCCCTCTGCCTGCTTCTGGACCTGCTGCTTACCGGTGCCTGCACCTTGTTCCTTGGGGAGTCCAGCAGCCGCCTGTGCTGGACACTGTGGGTGGTGCTGGCAGCCCTGCTGGCTGCACTGTGCTGTGCCATGTGCGTGTCCAGTCTGCTCCTCCTGCTGCGAATGGAGCACGGTCCTCAGCGGCACCAATCCCGGGGTTTCCCTGCCCTGGTCCTCCTGGCCGTCCTTCTCTTCCTCTTCTGCGGCCTGCCCTTTGGCATCTACTGGCTGTCCCGAAACCTCCGCTGGCACATCCCCCACTATTTCTACCACCTCAGCTTTCTCACAGCTGGCATACACAGCGCAGCCAAGCCCGTCATCTACTTCTGTTTGGGAAGTGCTCGTGGCTGGGGGCTGCGTGAGCCCCTCCGGCTGGTGCTGCAGCGGGCACTGGGGGATGAAACTGAGCTGGGGGCCAGGAGAGAAGCCTCCCACAGGGGCCTCATGGAGGTGACTGCCTAGGTCCTTCAAGTGCTGACCACAGCTCCAGCCTGGGGGTTCTGGAGAAGGTACCAGAGTGGGATCAGAAGACTTAGAAGGAGGACTTTGATGATGACTTTGGCCCACTCCTGTGCCTTTCCTCTCCTGTATACCAGGTCCACAGGAAGTTTCTGGAAAGGCCAGACTGGAGGCCAGGTCTCTGGAGAGCCTAGGAATGTGCTTTAGAGGAAACTTCTGGGTGCCTTCTCATGCTTCAAAACTTGTAAGAGCTTTGTTACACTCACATTCCTCTGGTACAGAGAGGAGACAGGGAAGGGTAAGGCAGGCAGGTTGTCAGCCAGGCAGTAGGCTCAGACCAACGAGCTCATCCTCCCTCTCTCTTCCTGCTAGCTGCAGGAACCTGCACTGCGTGGTCCACCTCAGTTCCCCTTGCCTCTCCCTCTCCTGCAGGCTACCAAGGTCCCAAACTGGGAGGCTGACTTAGGAAGCCCCTGATGGCTAAGCCACAGACAAGAACATCTGCCCAACCCCTAAACCACAGCCTGTGAGCTGAGTCTATCTGACTCCTGTTAGGGGCCAAGAGCAAAGCAGGCTCCTGGTCTAGAGTGCGAGGAGCAAGCAGGCCAAGTGAACCCCAATACAAGGCAAGGCAGGTTAACTCATCACTGCAGAATGCTACAGGGGCACAGTAGTCATAATACCTGGTGACAGGCCGTGCCCCCCTGGGTTCCTGTGAAGGGCTCTGAGTGTGGACCCTCAGTATACCATCTGTTCCAGTGCTGCCCAAAGCATAATGCCTCACACTAGCCATAGTGGCCAGCAGCATCCTTATGGCCATGTTACCAGTTTAAGTAGAAAAATGGTGACATCTCAGGACACAATGAGCTCTCAGAACAAGGCTTGGCAAGGATGGGGCACTTTAAGGTTCTGCCAACCTGGCTGCAGAGATTCCTTCTCATTTCCTTGCCAGGGAGGCATGGAGAGGCCCAGAGATAGGCTTTTAGAAGCTCATGGGGTTGCTGTTTAAGGCCATGACATGGGGACATTGGGTACGTTGCCAAAGGCTTCAGAAAAGCTGGCAGCCATTGAGGCTCCCTAGATCCCAAGGTGAAGCATGCTGAGTGGGCAGAGGGGCCACTGAGAACAGGAGGCTCCTCAGTCCCACCCACAGCTGGAACATCTGGAGTGATCCTGCCCACCGGCAGCCCCAACTTCCAGGACAGAGCCCAGCTGTTGGATGCCCCCCTGCCATGCCTCTGCCCAGCAGGTTTCCCCACAGCAGGTGGTGGAGCTGCCCTAGTGCAGAGAGAGGCCACAGAGTTGAATCCAGAGCCACCTACCTAGGAGTCTTTGCTCAGGGCATGGGGTAGCTAAGAGCGGGGATCAGAGCCCACCAGCCTGTGCTGACCCCAGCTTGCTGCCACCTCTATGTCACTGCAGGTCAATTACTCAGTCACCCTGTGTCTCTGCTTCTTCCTGTATGATTTTGTATGTGCAAAACAGTTTGAATTGTACCCAACATCTTGCAGGTCCCCATAGAATTTCATTATGTCACAACACTCCAGTCTGGTGTGAATCTTAACCTAGACTGAGGTGCCTGAGAAGGATCCCATTTGACTCCTGTAAGGACCTCCATGCCCTAAGAAGGAAGGTTGCTGGGTCTCAGCCATGATGGAGCTTGTCACTCTGAGTCTGAATCACAAAACCCCTATCCAGCATCCTGGAATCAGCATTTCCACCCTGCACACTCTATGCAGGCAGTGCTGGGCTGTGTGTTGGCCTCTGCCCCAGGGTGCATCCCTGGCAGGTCTGGGTTCAGGAATCCTGGGAGCTGGGTTCACCAAAAACCTGTTTTTCCTCCCAATGCAACCCAAGAGCCTGCATAGCCCTCTCTCTTCACCTCCAGGACAGTAGGGTCATTTTTTTTGGTAAACAGAAGCAGAAAGGAAAGTGGCCTGTCACAAATCCTACTGTTAGCTCTGGACATACACTTCTGTCAGACCCAGGAAGGACCAGGAGGAAAAACACAAATTGATCTCAGGTATTCATCTTGCCAGAATCCTTTTAGTAATGTAGGAAAGGGGTCCCATTTTACAGGTGAGTACCCCGAGATTCAGAGGGGTTTCAGTAATAGTCCATGACTATCTGGAACTTTTCAGTACCTGAAAAGTCAGTCCTGGGGCCCCTTGTCCACATTGCCCACCTTGCTGGACTGAGGTTGACTTACGTGCTCCCAACCCCATCTCCTCAGGCCCTTTTGCCTCATTTGAGGTACAGGTGTATCTGACACTCTAAGAACACACAGTCCCGGAGAGCCTATCCTGAGCATCAAAGGATTCTGAGGCAATTGTAAATGCTTCCCATCTGGCCTTGTGGAACCCATGCACCTTCGGTGGGGGAGGGTTATATGAAAAACTGCAGCCTCCTCCCAGTCTCCAGGGAAAGAGTCCACTTCCTCCACTCCACTGTGGGTGTAACAGCAGGCATGTGGCCTTATGGCCTAATTCTGTATAGAATTCACTCATTCCCCGTCCTGAGATCTGGCAGCCCGTGGGGCATTGGGACCAGGTAACCATCCTCCAGGTCCAAAGCTGAGACTCCAGGTCCTGGCCAGGCCAGATCAGTCTTGACCCCCAACCTGGCCTCCCAGGAGTGGCTCTCAGCTCATACCCAAAGCACTTCCTGTTTTGCCCCCAAAGCCAAAAGAGCCCCACCTAGGAACCCAGGCCAGTCCCCACCTCAGCCCTTACCCTGCATGACTCTGAGGCCAGCTGCTCCAAGGCAGCCCCTCCTGGGCTCTCAGACAAAGCCAGATCTGGGGTGGTTCAGTTCCCAAGAAGGACAAGGTCTGAGGGCCGGGCCAGTATCACCCTGGCCCACCTACCCACCTGGAGCTGCTCTGACAGGACGGGGTTCTTAGAAACAGGATGTCACTGCTGGGACAGCCAGACAGTCCAGTACACTCTGTAATCCTGGTCCCCTACTCAGGCTCTGCAGAGAGCACTGCTGGGGCTCCAAAGTCTGTGTTTGCAAGACAGGGAACAGGGCCTGGCAGCCAGTGGCCCAGGAAGGCACACCCTCCCCACCTCTGCCCTGCTGTGCTCAGATGCAAGTGTGAACGTTGTCCCACTACTGGTCCTGCTTTCACTGTGGAGGCCTTGCTCACTGCTCAGCTATTTCCTGACCATAGAAATTGGAAAATCCAATTTTAGGTGCCAGCCTAGGTCTTGTGTTGTCACCAGCAGTGTTACTCTTTCATCACCCTGGAGTGTTGTGGCCCAGACACAGGGTCCCACCTGGCCTACCCAGGCTTCAGGGAGGCCGTGCTTCTGGCCTGCGGACTGTGAGTGTCTCTGCTTGGCCTTCCTACTTTAGCATCATCCAGTGTATAACCTCTAGACTATGTCAGTTTCTATTAATTTAATGACAGTGTTTTTCCTTCAAGCCATGAGGTCACAGGAACAAAAGCCAGCTGGAGCTGAGCCTCCTTTGCATTGGACAGTGGCTCACAGGTGTAGCGTGCAAGATGTCACATTGCTCTTGGGTTAACCTGCAGCTTCAGGAGTCACAGATGGCTAGCAGGGGCCTGAGCCTGGAGAAGCCAAGACCCTCCGCTTCTGGGAGGAGGAGGAGAAGAAGGAGGAGGAGGAAAAAGCAGCCGGCTCTTATAGCCCCCCTCTTTGCACAGTGAGACCTCCACTCAGGAAGGAGGAAGCTGGAGAGAGCTGGCCTTGGGCCCAATTGTGTCTCAACAGCTCCTCCTCCGTGTGTCAGCTGAGTGTTTGTTTTCTTGGTGCTCTGGCCCTTGGGGCATCACTGACTTGAGGGATTGACACATGTGGAGAGCCAACTAGAGTAGTTAGCCACCTCCTGGTGCCCCTGAATCCCTTTATCAGAACTCTGGGCGTCCTAGTCCTATCCCGATTCCTCCTGAGCAGGAGCCAGATACAAGGGACAGCCCTCAGGCCTCACAGTCCAGAGACCACTCAAACAAGCCAATCCCAAGCCCTGACCCTCCTACCATTGCTTCCCATGAAAACTAAAATCCCTTCTCTAGCCCCTACCTGCCCACCTCTGACTCCTGACTGACTCCACCGCTTTCCCATCTCAACCTGCACATAAGTGCTTGGGAGTGACAGCTCTAGGCTTTGGGTCAACCTGAGTTCCAGTGGCCCAAGGACAGCTTGAAAGCACTCAGACTTGTGTGTGCTGACAGCAGGAGAGGGTGTCTGAGATGACATTACACCCAGGCAAACGTTGGGGGGTGGATTGTTGGGGCAACAGTACCTAGGTGTAGCCATTAAGAGGATGGCAGGTAAGATGGCCCTGGGCCACCTGAGGGCTGAGCATTTGAAAGTCAAGTGCAGTGGATCTGGGAGCCAGGTGGGGTGGCTCAGTCTAGAACTCCAGGCCATGCAGAATGTATGCACTACCTGACACTGACTGATGACTTGTGGTGAAGAAATGGTTTCCAAAGCCGAATTTCACTGGGAAATATTAGGGCAAACTGCACCTTTTTGGACATAATTCCTGCCAGGCTGAGCACAAGTGCTCTGTGTATTCCCAGTCAGGAATCACAAAACAAAAGTTCCCAAAGGATCCAAGGTCTTATCTAGAGAATTTGTAGTGACATTGTTTTGCAGAAGAAAATTTGGAAAAGCAACCATCAAGGGCTGGGACCCCTGGTCTGTGAAGTCAGACAAATAGTTGAGGGCTCCTCTGGAAGGGGTTGGGCCACCTCTACAGAATGTCCCCAGAAGTCCTGACTCATTGTGGGAAAAGCAGCTATTGTACCCAGATACTGAGCTGTCCTAAATTTCTCAGCCAATGAAAAGAAAATAAATAAGGCACAGAGAGGTTAGAGCATTTCCTCAAGACCACAGAGCCAGAAAGCTTCAGCCCAGGAGCCACTTCCAGGTCTGTACCTATAGTTCCTGGCTCATAAGCACCTCTGTAGCTCCCACAGGATTCTAAGAGCTGCCTTGCATCAGAGGAGAAGGCAGAAGTGTGGTCCAGCTCCAGCTAGACATAGTCTCCAGGCTGCTCCCTCCCCTGCACAACCCAAGTGCAGTGAGGTCAAGGGCTGTGGTGGATTAGCTAATGGTCAGCTTGGAACACCCCATGGCTCTGAGTCAGTATGGTGCTGGGTGGAGAAGGCCCACCTGAGGATTGCTGCCAACAGCATACAAGGAGAACTGGAGGGGAAGATGGCGCACTGTCAGTCCCCCGGAAAAGCTTGTTGCACTAGCTTTCCTTACATGAACTTGGCTGTTTTCATCATTAGAGGGGCTTGGGACCCCGCTGTTGCTGAGGATGGCTGCAGTTCTCTTTGAGGGAGCTCTGGTCCTTACATTGAGCATTGCTTTCTGGCTTCAGTCCAGATCACCCAGCCTGCTGGCACAAATCCTTCGCCCCATTGGCACAGACTTTCCTGCCTCCATCACTGACCTTTGGGCCTTCCCAGTGCAGATCCTTTATACAGACTTGAATGAGACATGGTCATGGCTCTAGGTCTCCAGTTGGATGTGTGGGGAGCATTGCTTTTGTATCTAGGTCTTCAGATGGATTCGTGCAGGACATTGCTGTGGGATCCAGAGCTTCAGCTGGATTCATTGGGTCTCTAGTGCATGGGCAAATCTCCCACACCCTTCTGTGTTTGACTCTTTGGGTGACTATTATAAAATAATCCTATAGGTTGTGTGTCCTGTATTAAATCCATTCCCTGTAAACACTGACTACAATGGGGGCCTGACAGGAGTGGATTCAACTTGACATGATTGCATTCGTCTTCAGCTGTAACCATCATGTTGGTCCTGAGTGACTTTAGTTGGGTTTCCTGCATATTTTCCCAGCAAACTATAACACACAAAACCCTAAGACTAATACACTGAGCTTTGCAACTGGATCCTTTACGGGGATGTGCCCAATTCTGTAACTTATCTTAAGATGGGGTACATTCCAGCCAGAATGTCCTGAACAATAACTATGCCCCTCTTTCTTACCCAAATTTCAGGCATCCAACTGGTCTTGCTGCCACTTAGCACCATGCTTCTGTCAGTAAGGCCCCAATAAATTTGATTCTGTGCAACCCTAGCTCCATCTGCTTCTCTTTCTTTGGTCTCATGGCACCTTGAACTTGGGTCTTATACACTAGGATGGGACTGTTCTGAAGCAGCTGACAAGCTAGCCGGGAGATCCAAGAAATGGATAAGGAGAAGGACGCATCTTCAGGGCAAGTCATGAGTCGATCACCTAACTCCCCATGGGAAGGGATGGTCATATGTTAAATGCTTGCACTGTACTGTGTTCAGTACCAGGAGCCCCTGAAATCACTGGGTTTGGAGCAGCTGTTTGCCAACTGCCTATTACCCCACTGCATCAGGAAATGCTGCATTGTGCCCCTGCACAGTGGAGGGAGGGCCATTGCTGTGAGTAGGTAGACGGAAAGAGATGTACCTCCCTCTCCATCTCTAACCCAGCTGAGGTTTGGGAAAGTCCCGGGGTTAGACACTTGGACTTGCAATTCTGTGGAATTGGAAGATCCAAATGAGATGCAGAGAACTGGAATCCTTGGGAGAAAGGAGGTAAAGAAAACCCTGAGATTGAAGTGGTAGAGAATGGATCCCCTGTCCATGCCTCTGACCTTTTTATTCCACCACTAACAATGCAAAGCAAAGGCACAGCAAACGCATGCAGTGGGACAAATTACTCACGTTTGTCCTGCTACAGAGCTGGTGGATACTGCAGAATCTGCTGAGAGTCTGCCTGGCTGATGAGATCCCAGGACATGGGAGAGCTGACATTTTTCTGGTGGTAAATGAAGCTGAGAGGATGAGTACTATTTCCTTTCACCCAGCCCAGATGCAGGGCCCGCATGCCAGCCAGATCCAAGGAAACCATTTCCTCATAGGTTGTATCATTTTAAACCTGAAGGATGCGGGGCCAACCGAAGGCATCTGCCAGGCCAGGAACCCCATGGAAGAGCACAAAGGAAGCCCAGAGAGTTCTGCCAGATTTGTGCATGTGACAGGTCACTTGCCCACAGGTGACTCAAGCACCTAAAGTCATTTGCATGGCTGGAATGAAAAACAAACTTAAGAAATGCCCTGGAGGGCTCTTCCCTCTCTCTCCTCAGGGTATGTGTGAGTGGGTGGAGCCACTGCTGATCTGGCCAGGACAAGGTACCACTTTCACAAAGCCTCACGGAAAGTGAAACAAATAAAAATAGGAGAGAAAAGAAACAGGATCCAGGGAGATAACTAGAAAGCAGGTGTGATGCGATTGGTTTTGCACAATATCCAGAGAAAGACAGGTGAATGCCTATGCATTTTGGATCACCTTGGGGTGGAACAGCAGGTATTCCCAAGCTCCTGCATGGCCAACTGCTCTAAGTGGACTCCCCCAAGACTAATCCACATAATTAGGGGTTAGACCAAGGATACCTCAGAATTAGGGCAATGGGGGTGGCCAGAGGCTTCATGTAGAACTCGGTCCACCAGTCCTAGGATAAGGGAAAGACCATTGCCCTGGTAAATCTGGTATTGACTATACACTGATCACAGTACTTGAGATTGTATGCTGGCACCCTGGTAAGTTACTGACAAGGATCAACAAATCAAAACAGGGATTATGGAATCTAAGAGTTGGGAGAGGACCCTTTATTCCATATTTGGTGCTGATCTGATCCTGAGAACATCATGGGGATGGATATTTCACTAAGAAAGACATTACAGACACTGGGTTCAGGCAGTAAAGTCAGTAGTGAAAAAGAAGCAACTTGCCATCCTGCTTGATAGAGAAGGGACTGCAGGGAAGGGGAAAGTCCCAGGCAGGGCAGGCAGCCAGGTGCACATGCGAGAATCAGAACATACAAGAATTAAGAGGAGTTGGGATTTTTCAATCAGTCCACAGTATCCTCCATAACCCTGTCTGACCAAGAATACAGCCAGATGGGACTTGAAGAATGACCTCTACAGGAAATTAAGTAAGGCGATCCCTCCTAGCCATGCTGCAGAGCTGACATGGCCCAGGTCCCAGGAGGAGAGTTCTCCTCCAAGCTCTGTGTATGTGGTTCTAGACTTGGCTTGTGCCTTCTCAGCCTTCCTTTAAAGCTGGACTCAGAGAATATCACATGGAAGGGAAGACAGAGAACACTCTTTGGGACACCTACATAGGCCTGCTATCTGTCACAGCAAAGTAGCTGGGGACAGCACTGATCTCATTCTCTACTGATATAACCTAGTCCCACTGCAATGACAGCATCATGCTAGTTGGTGAAGATGACACTCAGTGACAGGATATAATAGGATGATGGCACATTTGTCCATGCACAAGTGGGTGACAGTCTATGCAACAAAGCCCAAGGCCTTGGATATCTCTAAGTCTCTTCATGAGGGTCTGGTCGGGTAGGACCTATTTGATTCTAGGCACGATACAAGGATGAATTTGTACCTGCTCTCTCCCCACTACGAGGCAGGATGTACAGGATGCAGGGCTCCTGGCTCATTGGTGGCTTCCGCTCCTCATCTCTCTCAGGACCCATACCTGCCATGGCAGCTGATGGAGAAGGGATGATGGGGACACTCCCCAGCAGGAAGTGTGTGAGAAATCAAAGACTTGGCTAGCCAGAAGCAGGCTCTGGACACCTCTGCAGTTAGATATCACTGGCATAAGAGGTGGCCTGAGCTAGGCTCTTTGGTAAGAAGGACAAGATTAAAGGTATGTGGTTAGAGCTCTAGAAGGAGTTGTGAATAGATGCTTCCCATCAGATCTACAGCATGCAGTGACTTCTTCTGATGCAAACTGGTGCATCAGGAAACATGGGAAATGGCCTGTCCCACCATCTTCCATCTACACAACACAGATGCACCACAGTTGAGCTGTGGCTCGTGTCAGCCCATTACCTATGAAAATGTTTCAGACCTCAAATGCTCAATGCGAAGGCCATACTTGAAAAAGCCAGGTGTACAGACAGGATCAGCAGGGGACCCAAGCATCTGGATGGCTGCTACAATATCTGGCTTGAGAAGAGAGGAGATCTACTAGCAGCATGGCTAGTGGGGACCATGTCCACGAGTCAAGGCTACTGGTTGTCCATACTGAATACTTGGCAGTGTACTGGACTTCACATGGCAGATGCCACATAGCTACTGGAACAATGGTCTAGTGGCCCAATGCAAGCCTTTCCTAGAGAGAGACAGACAGAGAGAGAGACAGACAGACAGAGAGAGAGAGAGAGAGAGAGAGAGAGAGAGAGAGAGAGACAGAGAGAGAGAATGAAACTGCCATTACCAAAGGCCTTGAGGAATTTAAGGTGCCATAGGGGCACCTGCACTGCTTGATAGTAAACAATCAGGTACCCATTCCATAGCAAACACCACCCAGGATTGGGTTCAGACGTGCGAAGGCACTGTTACCTGCCGTGTAATGCAGGCAGTAGGTTTGGTGGAGAAGAACAGCTTATTAGAGCAGCAGATGTCAGTCCACTTAGGGAAGCCTGTCTTGGCTGGCCACATTGAAATCCAGAGGAGTCTTGAGAAACATAAACAACCACAGGGCTGGACAAGCCTTCCATTTATGAGGGCGGAGGGGTTTTACCTGCCCAGAGGCCATTGTGTCCCAGCTGTACAACAAGGAGACAAGCTCTGTAGCTGATGCACAGACAGAGAGCAGTGCTGTTACCACACCACAAGCATTAAACCCAGAGGAGGTAGGGGATTCAATGGCAGTTGGGGTCTTGTCCTGCTCCAGCCCTCCCAACTCACTCAGGGTTGATCCTGCTGGACTCTGAGCTCCATTCCTTGAGTCGGCTAAGGCAATCCGTCAGAGCCCTGGAGTTGGCCTCCTGGCCTGGCAGGAATTTCATCACTCCTTTTAGGAATTGCTCATGGACCCTGCTCTGGCACACAGCATATGCACCCTGCCCACCACCCAGTCCCCTGCCCTCCACCCCGACTGTCTTCCCAGATGGTGCAGATTTACCTTGACAAGTTCCCATCAAACTTTTGGAGTTTTGCCTGTAGGCCTGGGCTTCTACTGAGTCTGTGGTCTCCTTTATCGCTTGTAAAGCCAAGGTTCTTGTGTAGTAGACCCCTCTACTATGTGGGTGTGCCACGCTGTGATAGTGAACCAACTGGCCAATCTGAATAAGAACCGCCCAACTAAATTGAATCAGCATGGACTTGGGTGTGGCTGAGGGGATTTAATGAAGCAGAAGAGCCACCCTAGGTAGGCTCAGCACTTGAGTGGTATAAAAGAGAAACTGAGAAGGAAGGCTCACTTCTTTCTTCACCTTGACCTCAGAGGGTGTCTCCTGGCTTCCAGCCCAGACTCTTCAGGCTTTCAGCAGCACCTTTGCTCTCCTGATACACACTTGCATGGGACACTACAGTGAACTCCAGGCTCTCATCAGGATCCTTCGGGTCTGCAACACACAGACAGACCTCTTGCACCTTTCCACACCCAACTCCGTGGGCAGCCAAAGTAAGCCAATCTTGTAAGTTCTTATACTTGTATATCTTGCATTAAATCTGTTTCTTAGTAAGCATCAAATGGTACACATGCTCAGGACCTGAGTATCTGGACATTTCTTTTTTCCATTTCATTTAGACTACCTTGGTATCTCCTGTCCAAGGGTAAGACTGAAAGATTCTAGATAAGTATATATTGGAGGCTTGGTGGAAGTCATATACCCCAAACACCAGAGATAGCCAGTTTCAGTGTGTCCCAGTGACCAATGGAAGTATCCCCTGCCATGGCTTTCCATTCACTTAGGTCACCATAGAATAGCCTATGTAACATTACGGGAAACTTTAGGAGCAAAGACAGTACATACTCACATAATGAGCATATTTGGAACAGATGCCTATAGATAGCCCCAGGTCTGGGCACTTGAATCAGCCAGCAGCACTGTGTTGAGAATGAGCTGACTATTCCAAGGATGCTGAGCTTGATTTCCCTAGACCCATGCCTGGACACCAGGTCAGTGGGGCAGCACACCATGCCTTAGACAAGGATGAGTTTGCACCAGTGGATGTGGTGGCTTGGTACTCACACGCCTGCACCGAACAGGACCCAATGGCCGTGGGGAACAAACACATGCCTGGTTATCCCAAGTTTATTTGGTGTCATGGACACTGCTTTCCAGCTGTATGAGTGACCTGGTAACATCTGCCCATATAGTGTTAAGACACCTCATAAGCTCAGTCTTGTGACAGAGGAAAGGACTGCAGGGAATAGTAAGAGCCATCAAAGTGTGGGACATATGAATTCAGCTGCATATGACAACAGCCGTCCTGAGAGACAGCCATGATTGCCTCAGAATAGCCCTAATCCAGTTTTCCTGCATATTTTCCTGGCCTAATATAACACACTAAGCCATACGGGTGGTATGCAAGGACCTGGCTCCAGGGATGAACCCGAGTCTTTGATATTATCTTAAGGTAAATCAGATACATTCCACACAAGGTAAAGTCACATTTGTTCTAAGGTATAAATATGCCCTTTTTTCTGACTCAAGTAATAGACGTCTGTGCTCCCGCTGCCGTTCAGGACCACACTTCTGCCAGTAAGTCCCGCAGTCTGTTGCGCTCTGCACAATCCTGGCTCTGTCTGCTTCTCTCCTCTGTCTCACGGTACCCTGGGGCTGTCCTCACACATGAAGACTGGGCTGCCCCAAAGCCACTCACGTGCTGGTCTTCCATTTCCCTTCTCCGGTGGCCAGGAGGAGTAAAGGGCCACCCACGTGCACAGGCCCATTTGAGCTCACTCCAAAGATTCCTGTGAATGGTCACTACACCTTCTACTTCCCAGGAACTGACTGGACACCCTGGATCCAGCCAGTCAGGTCCCAGAGGATAAGAGGGGATTTAGGGCCTGGGAGGAGGCATCTCCAGGCAGGGAGTGTGGACCAAGAGAGCTGAAGTCAGCCACAGCCAGGTAAAGACTTGTTCTTCCACCTGCTCCCGAGGTGAGATGCTTCTCCCCGACCCTCTGCAGCTCCCTTTTTTGGGCCTGGCTCTGAGGTGCGCTGGGGCTGGGGGTTTCTTCTGGGAGGTGGAGGAGGGGCAGGAGGGAGGTAGACACTGAGGTCAGCTTTGGATCTGCGGATGATGCCAGGCCATTTGGATAACAATGATGCTACCCCATCTTAGAACCCTCTTTTGCCTCCCCTCAGCATCTCATTTAGGGAGGTGCTGCTCATACACCCCTACACAGCACTGGCCTCAGTTTCCCTTGGTACATCTCAAGGAAACTGAGGCTGGAGAGGGGCAGAGTCTTACCTCACATCCCCCCCAGGACACCAGTGTGCAGCCAGGTCCCTGACTCCCAGGTCCTGAGGTCCTGCACTCTGACTCTGCTGTCAGAGCTTGGGAGTCAGGTACTGTCCCCATGAGGGTGACAGGGAGGATGCGTGGTATAAGGTGGGGTGGCTCAAGGGGACTGGGAGGTTACTGAAGGTTCAAGCCAATGAGAGGAAGTAGAGTCATAAGAAGGGTACACCTGGGTGAGTAGAGAGGTGGCTTAGAGTGGCCAGGTGGGGGGCACATGCCATGCCAAGGTGAGCCAAGGTGACAAAGGCCACATTAGGCTTTGTATTTGTCCCTTCTGTGCCTCTACCCCTCTAGCTCTGTCTCTCTGTCTCTGAGTCCCTCTGTCTTCCCACTTCTCTGCCACTGCTCCCCCACCCTGGCATCCCCAGAACCCACAGTGTGGGTTCTGAGATCTCCAGCAGCATGTCCCCAGGGCCGGAACAGGGACCAGTGTGGATGCTGTGGGGGGCAGCCCAGGGAAAGGACGTTCTAGACAGGCCCATTACTTGGTCACTGTAGCCAACCACAGACACTCATGTGTTTTTCCTGAGAGGACCCCAAGGCCCTGTAGCTGGTCACCAAAGTCCATGCACTTGATTTGAGGCTTCAGAGAGACCTCCACAACCTCTACAACCCCTCTACAACCCCTAAGGGTCCCCTCCACCTCCCACCTCCACCACTACATCTTTGCTTCTCCTGCTGTGATCCCCAGAAGCTCTGCCCACTGAAGGGCAGCATGCTCTGGGGCTCACTGTTTGGGACTGTCCAGCAAGAGACCCTCTGGGGTGAGAGGGCTCAGTAAGAGCATATTCCATGTCTCAGACTGGGAACCCCATTTGGAGTCCCTAATAAGAGAGAAGAGGAGATGTCTGCGTGTGCTCCCTGTGTGTCCTATTTGTCTACAGAGAGATTTCCAGTACATGGTGGGCCTCTATGTATGCCTAAACCAGGGAAGGGCCATTTGTCTGTCCAGCAGGGGGAAGTCAGGATGCCACCTGCAATTATAACTGGCATTGGGCATGTGTATGGCAGGAAGACCAGCTGGCTGAACACTGGCTGAAGTCACACAGAGCTGGGAAGGGGATGCACAACAGCACTAGGTCAACTCTCCACCCGACAGCACTGATCAGTTCCTGTCACTCTCTGCAGGGTCCTTCCTGCGCCTCAGAACCAGCCAAGATGTTCGGCTTGGACATGTTCAGCTTCGACATGTTCGGCTTCGATGTGTTCGGCTTCAATGTGTTCGGCTTCGACATGCTCAACATGTTCCAGCTCCCAAGCTACCTGGGTGACTTCAGCAAAATCATTATCTACTGCACGCTGGCTGTGTCCTGCCTGGGGGTGGTGGGCAATGGACTGGTGCTGTGGTACCTGGGCTTCCGCATCAAGAGACGTGCCCTGAATACCTATCTCCTGAACCTGGCTGCCGCCGACTTCCTGTTCCTCTGCTGCCAGGCAGGCTTCTGCATCAGCCATGTGGCGCTGGGCACCTCGCAGAGCACGATGTTCTTCGTGGTCACCTTCTTGTGGTTCTCAGCAGGGCTCTGGCTGCAGGCGGTCTTCTGCACCGAGTGCTGTATTTCCTACAGCTTCAGCTACTGCTGCAAGTGCAACCGCCCCAAGTGGACCTCAGTCATCATCTGTGCCTTGGGCTGGGTGATGACCATGTCAGTGGTGCTGGTGACTGCCAGGGCCTGTGGCATGCTACAAGACAGGTTTCGCCTGGTGGCCTGCCTCCGTTACCATGCTGCCAGCATCGCCTGGCTGGCAACCCTCATGACCATCGCCTGTGGGGCCAGCATGACTCTCCTCTGGCTGAGCTGCTGCAAACTGCGCCAGTTTCCCAAGTTCTACCGCATCATCAAGACAACAGGGTCCCTGGTTCTCATCTGTCGCCTGCCTTTTGTCCTCTATTGGAGCCTGCGACCCATCATAAACTTCCTGATGCCCATGTTCCTCCCTCTGGCCACCTTCCTGGCCTGCATTGACAGCACCTCTAGGCCCATCATTTACTACAAGATGGGCAAGCAGCCCGGGAAGCGAGAGATGCCCGGGGTGGTCCTGCGGAGGGCCCTGAGCGAGAACACCCAGCGGAGCACTAAGGGGCTGTCTAGCAAGCTGGCTAAGGCACTGCCTACGAGGCTGTTAAGAGGGAGGTCTAGGGGGCGCCCTACGGGGCGGTCCCTACCTGTGGAACAAGGCCGCCGCATCGTTAGAGCCCGCCCAGCTTCTAGTGTTCCTCCAAAGCGTGCAGCTTCTCGCGGTCCTTCAGCTCGCCATCGTCCAGTGGCGCGTTCCGTCAGTTTGCCACCCTTGAAATCTTCGCGGTGTTAAAATGCCGCCTGGGTCCACGGCCACCGTTCCCCGAGCTATGCTGCTGCCTTTGAGCCTAGTGTTGGAGGAATCAGCTGCACCCCACCTAGATCACCGTGGCCTAAGGAGCACACGGTCCCACAAAGGGTAAGAGGCCACAGAGACAGGTGGGTGCAGAGAGGAGAAGCATGGCCACAGAAGAGGATGCGCAAGCTCCTCCCCAGCCACGATAGGTCACCATGGTGTCTGGCAGAGCCCCAGTGTGGCTGGAGGTCCTGGAGGCCAGGACTGTGGCTCCTGAGAGAGATGCCCACTGACCCGCGCGCCGCACACGCGACTCTTCCACTGAGGAACTTCAGCTGAACTTTTGGGTCTCCTTTACTAATTCATTACTTCCGTGGTTCGGACCCCCTTCTCTCCACCTGACAAGGGTGTTTGCTCAGGGAGACCTCCCCACTTCTCCCTCCCGGTGTCACCTATAGAGACCACCAGGTGGCGTTGCTTAACCACCAGACAGACCCAGCTTCCAGCAGGGCTGTCCCCTCCCCCATCTGTAACCCATCGACTTTTCCCACCTTGGGGGGTTGGGGTTCCTGCTTTACATCCCATGCTAACCCTTTGCCCTCCCGGAGAAGGTCATTTCTCATGTCCCCCACCCTAGAATTGGAGAGATACAGACAGAGAGACAGAGACGCAGAGACAGACAGAGACAGGGACAGAGAGACAGACATAGACACAGACACAAACAGACCTGGAGAAAGGGAGTCAGATGGAAACAGGGACAGAGACAGTCTCTCCCTCAAGGGGAGGGCTGGGATTGTAGTTACGTACAGAAAAAATTCAAGGCTTACAGAAAATATTTATTGAAAAGATAAATTACCAACATTCTTTCCACCGGACGGACATATTTTTTATGAAGAACTCTGCGCTTGCTTATTTTTGTAATAGAGACCCTTAGAAAATTCCTCTTATATTTTATCTCTTTTTTACCAAAATAAAGATATTGTAGCTATGTAAAAACTGTTGTAGCAAAGTGTTTTACAGCAGTCTTCAGAATATTTGCTACAGTTGCTTTTTCCACTGGAAGAATAACATATACTTGCTCATTGTGGAAACCAGAATGTTAAAAAGAGGAAAAAAAGAAAAACTTAACCTGTGGCCACCTGCCCCAGAGAAAATAGGACTAATAGGAAGACTCCTTCCCTGGCCGGACCCTTAGGAAGGGATAACCCCAGCAGGAGGCCGGGGACCTGGGGCTCTGTTGGTCTAGTGCCACACTGGCCTCAGAGAGGTGGGTGGAGGGTCCCCAGACCAAGTAGTTCGGGGCGGCTTGGTCCAGGGGGCAGCATGGGGAGAGTTGTCCCAGGAGGGCATGGCTTCCTTCCTGGAAGGCCTGGAGATGGAATGGGGGGGGGGGCAGCTTCAGAAGCACGGTGCTCTGTGTCAGCCCCATCATCCATCCTAGGCCCAGGAGACAGCTGGGTGCCCTGTGCTCAGTTTCTCTGTGCAAGCCCCAAGGTCACCATTACACCTGCAGTAGCCTCCTGACACCGTGGGCTTCACTTCCATTGCTGCTAGTCATTTGTTTGTCTGCTCAGTGTCCCATAAGGGACATCTGTGTGCTGAAAGGGGGACAGGTCAGCAGCCTAGCAGCTGACAGCACCTAGGGCACAAGACAATTAGCCTAGTCCAGACAGATAGGGAGCAGGGCCTCAGCCCCAGAGCCTGCTGCTGGTGTGGGGGAACCAGCCTGACCTAAGCAGCTGTGACCTTGGTCCTTGAGAAGCTCACACCCTTTCAGAGGGTCTGGCTGGTCTGCCTCCAAAGTGCTGGGATTCTCCCTCTTGGCATTCCTCTAGGTGGGTGACATCCAGGGAGTGTCCTGGCTGCTCAGGGCCAGGCCTGGGAAAGGAGATGGAAAGCTCTCCTTGCCAGGACAGTGGAGGCCAGGCCATGGTGGAAGGCAGCCTGAGGTAGACCTCAGTGCTGTGGGCACTGCTCTTCCCACTGCAGAGCAGCAGATGCATCCTGTTCTTAGCTTCTCCTGTGCACAGCTTCCCCTGAGTCCCAAGGTTGCCATGATGTTTAGAACAGTTTCCTCATACTCTGGGCTTTGTTTTCTCATAATTTAATCACAGGTTCACTTGCTCGGTGCCTTGTCTTGCACTAGAAGGAGAGATGCCCATGGACACAGAACCAGCCACTGTGTCATTGCTGTCATTCAGCAATGGAAAAAAGATGGGTTCAATGGATAGACAGGTGGCCAGATGGATGGATGGGTGAATGGGTGGCTGGGTGGGTGAGTGGATGGTTGAGTAGATGAATGAGTGGATAGATGGGTGGATGGATGGGTGGATGGGTGAGTGGATGGATGGGTGGATGAGTGAATGGACAGGTGAATGGGTAGATGGATGAATGGGTGGATGGGGTGGGTAGATGGATAGATGGATGTTTGGATGGATGGGTGAATGGGTGGCTGGATGGGTGGATGAGTGGATAGATGGGTGGGTGTGGTGGGTAGATGGATGGGTACATGGGTGGATGAGTGAATGGACAGGTGGATGGGTGGATGGGTGTGTGCATGGATGGATGGGTGGATGGATGGGTGGGTGGATGGATGGATTAATAACTGATGAAGAGTTAGATTGGACAAATAAATGATGCAGCTAAAATGAAGTGCAAGTCAGGGGCTGGTCCTGAATTGTGGAAGCTCCCCAGCCACCCAACAACTTGACCACTGATGTCAGGCAAGGGCCCAGATTTGCTCACCACTGAGCCCAGCTACTGGAGCCTCGTCCTCCAGGCCAGCCCCACACTGTGCCCTGGCCATGTTGTACGACCCACAGACTTGCCACGGTGCCCACTTTCTCCAGGGAGCTCAACATCTGGAGACAGGCACAGAGGGAGAAACAGCAGCACCATGAAGTACAAGGACCCCATCATCTGAGAGCACAGGAAGGAAACTGAGGCAAGTGAAAAACACAGGAGACAGACCAGCAGTGCCATGATCAAGGGGTAGCCTTAACGCTGTTACTCTTGGAAGGATTGTGACGAAGTCATGGTATTAAAGATGCCAAGCTACCAGCAGGGTGGAGGGATGGACCAGCAATGCCAGGTCAGGCAAAGGGACTTGCAGTTATGAACTCAGGGAGCTGCTGTGGTCATTTAGAAAATGGACAGGACAGAGGGTGCTGAGAGTGGGGGGGGGTAGGATGTGCAGTGGAACAAGCTGACATGGGAGAGGGAGGGGCTAAGGCCTTCTGGGTGGGTGGGAGGTGACCCATGCCCACCGCTGAGAGCAAAGAAAGGCAGTCCTGAGAAGAGGCTGTGGGCAGCTGGAACCAGGAGGGGACTGTGGGCAAATTCCCAAGTTTGCATCCCCAAGCATTCAGCTCAAGTAAACATTATAAATGGGGAGAGAGACCAATCGAGGTTCATTTTGGGTGTTTCTTTCCTTGTGGATCTCCAGTTCCCACGGAACTGTATCTGAGTCTCCACTGAAGCTGGTTGCTTGTGTGCGCTGAGTCTAACTGTAGCTTTATGTTAACTACGAAATCAGGTGACATAAGACATACAGTTTTATATTTCTCCAAGATGCACATCTCTATATAAATTTTAGAGTCATGGTGGCAGTTTCTCCAGAAATCTACATGGCTGGGATTTAATAATTCCTTCCATTCAATTTTTCTAGGCAAATTTATGGAGGACTAACATTTTCGCCACATTCAGTTTCTTTCTTTATGAACGTGGTTTATCCTTCTAGTGTGATCTTTGATTTCTGCCAACTCTCTTTAGTAGTTTTCAGTATAGATCTCTTGTAAGAGTTCCCTCTGAGGTATTCGAGGAATCTTGAAGCTATGTAAAAATGATTGGTTAATTTCATTTTCCAATGGTTTGTTGATAATTTATTGGATTTTTATATTGATTTTGATGTTTTATACTTATTTAACTATTCTTCCAACTTGCTAAACTTGCTAGTTGGTTTCAATGGTCTTTTTGAAAAGTGCTTAGGATTTTTTAGCTCCATGATCGTGTCATGTGCTACTTTTTATCTGGTCTTTGTCTTTTGTTTTGTTGATTCTTTGCAGTAAGACCTACCATAGAAGGTTGGGTGGACACAGTAAAACAGTTTCCCAATCTTACAGGGAAACTCCTCAATATTTTACTATTAGATAACATATACAACAATTCCCATGTGTTCCCAGTTTTCTGGGAGATTTTAAATCACACACAAGTATTAGATGGTATCAACTGTTTCTTTCCTTCATTTATTAAAATGGTCATGTCATATCGTCTCTTTAGTCTAGTAATGGGGCAAATTACATTGCGGGGTGTGTGAATGTGTGTGTCTGCGTGTGTATTGGCAGTACTGGAGATTGTACCCAGGACCTTAGCACTGCACTATATTCCTAGGTCTTTTTAATTATTTTAGATTTTGAGACAGGATCTCACTAAGTTGCCCAGGCTGGGGTCAAAGTTATAATCTTCCTGCCTCAGCCTTGCAGAGTGCTGGGATTTCAGGTGCCTGCCACAGTATCGGGCTTTGATTTATCTTTTGATGTTCATTTGTATTCCTTGAGTAATCTCTACTTGGTCCTGACATATAATCCTTTTGAAATGTTTCAGATTTTATTTGCAAATATTGTGGTAATGGTACCTGCAAGGATGTTCAGGAGTGATGTTGGTTGCCTGTGTATTTTCTTGTAAAATGCTTGTCAGGCTTGGGTTTCAGTTTCTCCCTGTTGCTCTGCTCTTAATGAGAGTTTGGGTCAGTGGTGCCCCTGAGACTGGTGACTCAGGGAAGGAATTTAAAATTCAGTTTCTTAGCATGCCCAAGGCTGTGGGTTCAATCCCCGGTACCACACACACACACACACACACACACACACACACAACCTAAAACAGTTTTTACTTTAACAGTACAGAGGTATTTAGGTTCTCTTTTCCTTCTTGTGTCCACTTTGGAAAGGATTTTCACATCAAAGAACTTGTTAAATTTTACCTATTTGAATTTGTTGCCTAAAGCTGTGTGTGATATTCCTTTAGTCTTTGTACTGTCAACCAAGTCTGTCAC